TTGATCGTTTATACGGTAATTTGAACTTTGTTGATATTTGAATGATATAAATATGAAAGAATGACGCAAATATTACTAGTGGCATTCTATTTTAATATGTAAGGGCATCATCATCAGATAGTTTTATTTGAGATTAATTAGATGACATGTTAGATTATTTCAAATATTAACATTGGGTAAAGAGATTATTTAGGTGGATAATTTAAAAAGAAATCATGTATCAAGATTCAAATCACGAATTATTAGAACATCTCCAAATCTCCAATGGTTGCTTCTAGGCACTTGTTTGCAATTTTGAAGCTACTAGCCAACCATTGGAGTATTGCTCTTTCTTTTGCTTGATTAACCTAATTAACCCAAATGAGCTACCAGCTTGAGCAAGGCGAGTTATTAAATATAGCATTATAAATAATAAATGCAGAAAAAATGTTATAGCTAACCATTGAAGTATATTTCAATTTTGCTACAAATGCTTCAGTGGGGAAGCGTATACCATACAGCCGGCTGTACGGCTGGCACCGTACATCAGGTGGCATTTTTGTAAATTTGATGAAGTTCATGGTTTCTCTTAAATGATCTGAGCATTAATGTAATTGGGATGATCATCAAGTTTGTTCTTCTGAGTATTAGGAGCCTAACAATGAGCACCGGTGATCTCTGCATCATGTCTTCTAATTCAGTTTCTTTTTATTAATTTTCATTTATAAAAAAATTCTTAAATGGTGTTTATAATTTATTTCAATATGTTAATCTAATGTAGTATGATATGTTTGATATGTGCATCATTTTAAAATGAGCATAAACCAATACCAAATGAGCATACATAATTTACAAAATGACTATTAAAAAATTCAAAGCTTCATTTGTGTATGTTCATTGATTTTGGATGTTATATTTGATATGTGCATCATTTTAAAATGAGTATAAAATAGTACCAAATGAGCATACATAATTTACAAAATGAGTATCAAATAGTTAAAGCTCATTTGTGTATGCTCATTGATGTTGGACGTTATACTCATTTAAGTTTAACATAAAACACATTTTAATGTGCTTAATATTCAGTTGTATATGTTCATTTCTTTGAGGCGTATACTCATCTGAGTTTAATATAAAGCTCATTTTTAATGTGCTTAATGTTCAGTTGTGTATGTTCATTTCTTTTATGTGTATACTCATTTGAGTTTAATATAAAACTCATTTGAGATGAATAACAGTAGGGATTCCTTTGTCTGCAGTAGGCTCCCTTTGTCTAATTGTCTTCCAAAATCACAATCTCAAACACCAAAATTGAATAAGAAAAAGAGAAAAAAAGAAAAGAGTGAAAAGAAAGACAGAGGGAGGATCTGTTGTGTCCGTTCTAGAGGAGAATGACGAGCAACGACCTGAAAGAGAAAGAGACGAGTGGTGAGCGTATAATCAACCAGGTGCGAAGCCAGATCGAAAAAATAGACGAGATCTGAAGCTGGTGCGAAGCTGGGTACGAAGTCGAGGAAGAAGGCCAGAGCGAGATCGATCGAAGAAGAAGCGCAGAGCCAAAAAAAGGGCCGGCTGTACCGTGCGCATGGTACAACCGGCTGTACGGTGTATTTTACACTTAAATGACTAGTCAAGCTATAAGGGCAATTACAGATTATAGTTAAAATGCATATAACGCAATTAGGTGTACTAGAAAACAGATTATTTGAATATCATGAATGAATATGCTCTAATTAGTTATACTTTTCATAGTTGATATTACACTAGAATTTTATGATAGCCTGTTATTAAATTAATCTTATAAAAGTTGACCTCAGTTTATGATACCTTTGGAGTCTGTTGCCATTAGTTAATTACTTCTCTCATGTGCCTTTTTTTTTTCCTCTCATCTGCTTTCTTATGCAGTTTCTCCCTTTGAATCTAACTTATTACGGAGTATTATTATTGTTTTGTTGTTGTTGTTATTTCTAAAAAAAATAAGGAAACTTCCAAAATATGTCACGGATTTGGAACACATTAGCTAATTATTATTTTTATTTTGTCAAAAAGCTCGTGCCAAAGTGTTTTTGACACGGATTTGACATATCCCTACTAAATCCTCTATAAATTTCAGTAAATCTTATAGTGTGTAGGGAACTAATTACTACTTTACTTGTCCCTTAAAACTTTGTTATCTTTCCTTTTTTGATGTCCTAAAAAACTTTTTCACTTTCCTTTTTAATGAATTATTTTGTGGTTCTTGTTATTTCTCTCACATCTGCACAAACCTCAACTACACAGTTTTTATCTTAATAGTCTTCGTGCCAATCAAACTTGGCAAAATTTTAAAGGAGAGGTAGTAAAACGTATCACTAGCTACAAAAGAAAATAGTTTCCTAAGCTAATCGTAAAAAAATGTTACGAAATAATGCTTAAGTAATTAGTTGCCTAATAATAAAAGGTACTCGTATGAAATTCTGGCTAAATTCTGGCTAAAAGGTACTCTGTGGAAATATTAGTGCTCGTTTGGTAAAGTACATTTTTAGTTTATCACTCAATATTTTATCAAATATCAAGTTTTTTGTTTCACATTGCTGAATTTATAATAATAAAAATAAGTAATGTCAATTTTCTGGCTAAATAGACGAAAATCACGACCCCTTTAAATAAGACTTACTTAAAATAAATTAGTCGAGATTAGATAAGGAAAAATAATATTGTTAAAAACAAGGTCGTAGATGAGGGCGTGCATGCAAGTGCACTGCACAAGGCCTCTCGATTCAGACGGCCCAAAATTTTAAATATAGTTTACATAATTATATACAAAATCCTTTTTTATTTAATAAAAGATTCCTATTTTAGTATTTTGTTTTTAAATACAAACATTAAATACTAATATTTATATAAAATTAAAATGCAATTGTTAATTATTAATGTGCAACTTCTTTATTACATAAGGCCTGGATAAGGCCTAATTAGAGTAATTAGCACAAATTCCCCATACAGTTTGGACGAGCTTGGTTTTAAGAGACGGATGGAGTAGTTTTTCAGTAATATCCTACTCTATACGGAGTATTTTTTAGTTCATGAATTTAATTCATTTCTTTTCGGTTTTAGTTTTTTTTTTTTACCGATTTTGGTTGTTCAGGTTCGTAATATGATTATATCTCAATGTCACATTTGATTGTAGTCTTTTTGGGGTTATTTTTTAAAGGTTGATTTTATATTATATTTATTTAATATAAGGCCTATTTTACGTGAATTGCACCGGGTATCCTAATCCATTGAGCCGGCCCTGGTTAAAAATAATACTCACATAATAAAACTATTAAAATAATAACTTAAATTGTTTGTACACCTATTAAAACAATATATGATTAATATTAAGTTAACCTAGATAATCAACCAGAGGAAAAAAATTAGACTAAAGTAAACATCAATAGATTTAACCACAATAATTAAAACCGATCAAATGTAGGGATGGCAATGGGCAGATCGGGGACAATTTTATATATAATCGTACCCGCTCCGTTGAGTAATTCTCCCGTCCCGTTATTGCCCCATTACCCAACGGATAATTTTTATCCAAACCATAATTGCCCCAGCAGGTAACGAGTATAACCCGCGGGTAACCGCAAGTAATCGCTTTATTAAATGAGTCATTGATATTTTAATATAAAAATAATATTATAAAAATCGAAAAATGGCATCACCTAGACGACTCTAGATTTATACGCCACTTTAAATTTTCGAATATCTATAAAACGAGAAAGAAGACAAGCTAATTTAATTTGAACTTAATTAAATACACTTAATGTGAAAACTAATTAATCATCAAATAATCAGATAATAATCAAACAAGACCATTAAGATCTATTATGAACTTTAATTCATACACTATAGTTAGTACATCTATTATTCATATATACACAAATAAAATAGAAAAATCGATCTATCTTTTAATAATTATGGGACAAATAATAAATAAAATGTAATACAAATATAGCCCAAAATAAACGGGGCGGGTACGGGGCGGGTATGGAGCAGGTAATATATAAAACCATAACCGCGGAACCGCCCCATTAACCATAAAAACAAAATGGTATTCTCCGCCCCATATCCGTTACTCAATCAGTTGTTTTCCCGTTTTGATCAGGCGGTTCGGTGGGAGTATCCGGCTTAATTTTAAAAAGATGAAATCTGACGAAAAAGACTTGGCTAAGGCCATAATTTAAAAAGAACATAATCACACGTTATCATAACCGCCTTAATTTAAAGTTCAGCTTAATTTCATACTTGTGGTTTAAAGTAAGCTAAGTAATCAAGATTTGTCGTACAAGAGCTTGTACCGTAAGAATAAAATTTGAATTACATGATTTAAAATGTTGATTGAGTTGAATTTTGACGAGATATGACTAAACTGATTGAATAAGTTTGAAAAATATTGTATTTACTACGCAGCATTTAAAATGTTCTTTAAAATACATACATTACAGGAAGACGAAGATCATCTGAAATAATGGTAAAAAGTACTTCGATAGGAGCGCTGCCAAATACTCCATATATTTATAATAGAAGAGTTGCCAAAATACAAAGTATTTCTAAATATATATTAGGTAGACTCCTAAATATATATTAGGCAGATTCCTAAATATATTAGGCTATTACACCATCTCAAACTGTATGAGAGATACAATGCGCATGTTGTCTATTAAAAAATGAAATTGCAAACTAAAAAAAAAACTCTTGGTATATATATCCGCCAACGAAAGATTAGGAGACATATATTTGACCATAAGCATTTTTCATAGTTTCATACTTCATGTATAAGTACTGATATTTTACCGAGGCAGCAGCATAATAAAAAGTGAATTATTGTACAAGAAATAAAAAAGACAACTTTACCTACCAAGGTGGAATTCCTTAGCAAGAAAGATTATAAATATATACAAAGTTGTTTTTATATAGCTGTTTTGTATAGGACCTGAACATGGCAATAAATAGTCACTTTCGCAACACTATTTGATCCTAAGCTTGCAAATATTTTTGTGTATAAATAGATCCCCATCACAACTACCAAGACTCAAACTCACTCTCCCACAAAATAACTACTTGCTGATTCTTCATCTTCCTCTTCATCAAGCTCATCCATGGCTGCTCCTTCACCACAACTCTCTCTTCTGTTTCTCTTCTCAATTCTAAGCTTTTGCTTCCATCTCACCTCTGCTGACTATGGAAGCTGGGAAACTGCACATGCTACTTTCTATGGTGGTGGGGATGCTTCTGGAACAATGGGTACTAAGCATTTTCATTCATTTCTTCCTTCCTTTCTTCCCTTTCCTTTTTCATTCCTTCCTGTCTTTCTTTATTTTTCCTTAATTTGAAGAATTATTGAGAAGAAAGTCCAAATTAAATTGGATGGGGGGATTAGAAAATCAGAAATTGATCACGTGTGTGAGGTTTTAGAGTTTTTAACTGTAGAAATGAGTAAGATCAGTTAATAAATACGAAGTAAATGAGACTATTTTGTGCAGAATAGTCTGTACAATTAAGAACTCTGTTTCTCATAATTAGTGCTTTCTTAAGAACTTCTAAAACAAACCAATCAAGGTTAATGTTTTGCTGAAAAGTATAACCAATTTTCAAATTACAACCTTAACCTTTGCTTTATTTATTTTAATATTTTTATACCCAGCCATCTTTAGTCATTTATTATTAGGAATAGGGATTAAATATGGTAAAATCTCATTAATTGAAAATTAAAGAATTAGTGACTAAAATAAATATTGTTTACAAAAATGTGATTACTAAATAGAGTAGTAATGGAATAGTAACTTATATTCCATTTTTGAACTTAAATTACCATGACACTACATTTTAGTAACAATCATATTTCTGCAAATAAGTTTTACATTCGCAATATAAAATCCAAGCTGAAATTAGCACACTTACGGTCGTAAAACGAACTGAGCTTGAGACTTGATTTTCTTCTACTAGCACACTTACGATCGTACAAGGAGTCTTTTTTCTTTTGTTGAGATAATTTTTTTTTATGAAATTAAACATTTTCTAAACTTATTTTGGGACAAAAACATTTGTAAACTTTTGTTTAACATTTCTAATTTTATATTTATAATGATGGTTGGTATTATCTTGAGCAGATATTATAAATTCTGACTAAATTGCTCGTAATCGCGTTAAATAAAATTACTATGGTGAATTGGTGATCATTACGTATTAAAACTAAGGTTTCCGACTATTCTGATTTTAGTCCTACATTGAACATTAATTTACATTTTTACAACTAAATTTTGATGGTCAACTATAACGGTCAACAAATTGCTAATGGCAAATTTGGTAATTAAATAAATGCAGGGGGTGCGTGTGGATATGGCAACTTATACAGAACCGGATATGGAACCAACATAGCGGCCCTGAGCACGGCTCTATTCAACAACGGCTTAGCCTGCGGCTCATGCTACGAGCTCATGTGTAATGGGCCTTATTGCAACCCCGGGTCCATCACCATCACGGCCACCGACTTCTGCCCGCCCAACCCATCCGAGGCCAGCGACCACGGCGGGTGGTGCAACCCGCCGCGGGCCCACTTCGACATGGCCGAGCCGGCATACTTGCAAATCGCAATATACCGCGCCGGCATTGTCCCGGTGAACTACCGCCGGGTGCCGTGTCGGAAGAAGGGAGGGATCCGGTTCACGATCAACGGGCACACGTACTTCAATTTGGTTCTAGTGACTAACGTCGGCGGGTTCGGGGACGTCCACGCAGTAGCGATCAAGGGCTCGAGGGGCGGGTGGCAACAAATGTCGAGAAATTGGGGGCAAAATTGGCAAAGTAACTCCGTTTTGGACGGTCAAAGTCTTTCTTTTCAGGTCACCACCGGCGACGGCAGGACGATCACCAGCAACAACGTTGCGCCACCAAATTGGCAATTTGGTCAAACCTTTGAAGGATCTCAGTTTTAAATAAATTTACCATTTTACCCCATAAAAAACTCAAAAAGTGATTTTTAAAGCTTTCTGTTATTTTTACTACTAGTAGTAGTGTTACAAATGACACTCAGTCACCCACCCTGTAAAATTACCACTATACCCTCACTTATATGATTACCACCATTCATTCATGTAAAGGTATAATGGTAATTTGATAGGAAAATGTACACTATGAAGTAAGCCAGGCCACGGGGTCCTTCTAGCATTTAACTTCTGTGGCAGTGGTGGTTAATACTACCCGCTTTGAGGGGCCTAATGGTCTATACATTTTAGTACCATTATATTTACATATTCTGAACAAATAGTTTAGAAACTATTTATTTAAGTTATTTAGAAATCTTGTAAGCTGAGCCTCTAAAAAAATAGGTTCAGGGCTACAATGTGTGTGAATTGTGATATATTTTGTAACCAAAGTTGGAACATTATTATAGTGTATGATTTAAATTTAAATTATGTCGGATGCCTTGTTAGCCTATAAATTTATAATACTTCTTTACTTCATTTATTTGAATTAATGGTACATGATGTCTGGAGTATGTTATTGCTTAAATAATTTAGAATTTCAACAATTGAATCTAATTGTCGTCAATGGTTTGATTAAAAGAAATAAGTTTTAATTGGAAGGAGTTGAATATATCAGATTGAATTGAACAATAAGAAACACAGCAATACATTTTATAATGGAATTTTATCAATTTAAAACCTGAAAGATTTTTTCAGTAATAAAGGATATAAAAAATAAAAGTGTGTCGATATAGAGCAGAATGATTAAAAACTATCAATCAAAAACTTCAAATGTCTTAGATTTTGATTTATTTATCTTTTGTTAATGCCATTGTTAATATTTGATGATTTTTTCCTCACAAAAATTTATTAGTTTAGTGACATAAAAACATTCAATTTTAAAAAATAAAAATTTATGGAATTTTACGTATTGAATTGATCGTTTTTAATGATTTGAACCATATATCGACAAATTTTATTTTATACGGTGATAGAATTGATGAAATTCTTTTTATAATTGCTTTAAACTAAAGTATGACTAATAAAACTAATGGCTTACTAAAAACAGAAAGTTAATACCTTAATTTTACGATGGGATAATACGGAGTAACTTTGTAAAAACCACTACAAAAAAACACGGGTGTAGTCACGGATTTAGTCACGGACTGCAGTGTAAAAAATCCGTGACTAAGGTGTTTAGTCACGGTCAACCGCCGTGACTAAATCCGTGTCTTAATTGGCGTGACTAAATGAAGTCACCGCCACATAACCGTGACTAAATTTAGTCACGGATTAGTCACGGTCAACGACCGTGACTAATTTCATGCCGGAAACCCCACTCCGACATGTTAGTCACGGCTTGTGACCGTGACTATAATTTTTTTTTTTAAAAAATAAATATTAGTCACGGCTGTGGGCCGTGACTAAGTTTTAAAATTTTCAAAATTTTCAAAAGACCGCCCACGTACAAATCATACCCAACTTCGTGTGGGTCTTTAAATTTGAGATTTTTACACTTTGAACATGGACATCTTATTTTATCACCACTCATATAAGCCGGATGTTCAAGTGCAAATTCAATAAATTCCCCGACTCCCTCGAGAAAATTTGATTGCATTCCGTACAACGCAGCATCTTTATCATACATCCAACTTCTATTTTGTTTATACATTATGCCTGAATATTATAATAAAAAATTATATGAAATGCAATGCACACAATTTTAAGTAATTTATTTCACTAAATATAATCAACTAATTTTCACTTTTTTTAAATGAAATGCACAGAATTCTCAACAATAATGCACAAAATATATGTCCCCTAATGCACAATAATGCAGATAATTTCACTAAATTAAACATACGTTTAATTAAATCTAACTAATTCATTTAGTTAAATTTAACTAAATTTAACTAGTTCATTCCGTCCCCTTTTAATGCATCACTACGTTTAAACCTACGTTTAGCTACCTAATTTAACTTAATTAACACATCAATAGCTACGTTCAAACCTACGTTTAGCAAACGAATTTTAATTAAATTATTTTTGTAAACCTACGTTTAAACCTACACTAAATTATTACGTTAATGACATTTAATCTTATTAGTAATACACAATTAACAATTCACTAAATTAAATAATATGACCAAATTCAACCCAATAATTTGAACATGTATATAAAGTTATTTGAATTAATAAGCAATACACAATTCACAATAACAATTCACAATTCACTTAATTAACACATTACTAACGTACGTTATTTGAACTAATTTCACTAAACATAAACATCATTACGTTTTAAACCACATTTAGCTAACTAATTTTAATTAAATTATTTTAATTTATAAACCTAAAAGTTTAACTAATTCTAATTTATGACATTACTACGCTTATAGTTAAAACATGTTGTTAATTAATTAACAACCTCACTAATTTAATAGTTTTAATAATTTAAATTGAACCAACTAATTCTAAATAAAAATTATAATTCAAATAACATACCTTATCTGCATAAACAGGGAAAATGATAGAAGATAGACTACATCCTTCGATCTACGGATACTGTATATACTGGGAATGAATTGGTGTGGTTCTGTTCAATGAGCTGCTCCTGCATATATAAAAAATTTAGTCACGGACTTAGTCACGGATTTGTCCGTCACTAAGCAAAACCGTGTCCAATACGCGTCCAACACGTGTTAATGACGTGTAAATGACGTGTTAATCAAAGTAGTCACGGAACTAGTCACGGATATGGCCGTGACTAAAATTATCCATACATAATGCCGTTGCGAATTAAGTTAAGGGAGTTGAAAAAATTAAATTTTAATTATAGTCACGGGTATAGTCACGGATTTGGCCGTGACTAAGTCGTCGGAGTCAAATAACCTTCGCCGGAAACGGAAACGGGCCTATCGGAGGACTTAAGTCACGGGCCACGACCGTGACTAATGTTAGTCACGGTCATAGTCACGGTCCAGACCGTGACTATTTTTTTTTTTAAAATTCCGTGACTAGTCCGTGACTAGATCGTGACTAAACTAGTCACGGACCAAATCCGTGACTAAAATCCGTGACTATAACGCTGTTTTTTTGTAGTGAACGATGGGATAATAACTTTGTTGCAAACATTAAAACAATAGGGATAAAAAAATGGGAAAGAGACAAAAGTGGCATGTGATTTGTCGGGCTGCTGATCGCCGCTTTCAAACTGGGTCGTCGACCTTAAATGCTGCCGGTGCATTCGGGTTGGACGGTGCTGCATCTGGATTCATTAATTAATTAATTACTAACGAAGTATTTAAGGCCTTTAATTGTCTACTTCCTTACTATTATGAGTATAAATATTCACATTAAAAAGGTTTTCGAAGGTTAGTCGAAAATGGCACCAATGCCTTCATGATGTTAAAAAGTTGCATGTTTACACGTGTCGTGGACTCGTGGGCCTTTTGCCCGAGTGAAACGTGTCGCTTGGGTAGATATGAGATGATTCCAGCCCTAATTTAAGCCTTAAGGGAGTCCCGTTATACTCTGGTCCTTCCTCCCCAAGTAAATGGACCCAATTACAGTTTTGGGAGCCTATTGATTGTGGCCCAGGGTATGAGATTATACTCCGTATAATCATATCGTTGGGTTACTTTGAGCAAATTATGAGTGATGGACTCTCCCGGATGGGCCGGTCCTGGTCCCCCATTATTAAGACCGGAACTGATTCGGAACTTTACGGGTCACGGTCTTGGTCCCGGGTACCCGGCCAGTCCCGGTCAGGTCTCGAGCCGTTCGGGCCTTATTTGATTTTTTAATAAATAAAAAATTCTACACGTTAAAAACTGAAATGTATATTTATTTTAAACACTACATTGACTTAGAATATTACACTTCTATAAATTGCAATTGTGAATAGTTTAAACTTTAAGGGCCTGTTTACTAACAGAAATATTTTCTGTTTTCCCAAAAATTTGGAAAATTGGAAATAGAAAAGTCAGAAAACATGTTTACCAAAATGTTTTCTAGGGAAAAAAAATCGAAACAGGTTTCACTTTTTACGCGTGAATTGGAAAACAGGCTTATATGCGTTTTCTAGTTTTAGAAAACGCGGTGCTACAGCAAATTCATTTAATCGCTAGCCTTCATCCTTCTACCACCATTATTGCCTTTCATTTATCCCTTACCTTCCTCCGCCTAACTTCATTACTCGGCTTTAACTAATATCACCTTCCTCGCTCCAGCTTAAAAGTCGGTCGAGAGCTACACACTGCACCTCTTTAACACGGACGCCACAACTTCAGATTCGTTTGAGCAGAGCTTCCCTACCTCTTCCTCACATGGCTACCACACTCCAGGTTCACAAATCAGGCCATCGCTGCTAGGAGCTGAGCCCCGACATCACGGCATCTCCCTGTTCTCCCGTCGGCTCCTGTTCTGCCAACGATTTGAAGGTAATCTCTGAAACTCAATAAATTTTTCAACTTTTCTTTTTCAAAATTGAAATCCGATTGGAATCTGAAAACCAAATCAGTTTCTTAAGCCTGAACTTCATGGTTAGGGTTTGTTTTTCTTAATTTTACTTTTAGCTTTGTAGCTTCGTTTGGAATCCTTCAGTTTTTTTAAATTCTGGTAATTTTTGCCGTTCTAGTCCAGGTTAAGGCTTATTTGAGTTTGTAATTTATATACTACATATATACTTTTGTATTCTTGTTTTATGCTTTGATGTAGTCCAGGTTAGTAGTTACTGCATATTTTATTTGGTACTTTATTTGTGTAGTTTAGTTAGTTTTATTAAGTTGGTAGTTAATGCATCTTTCTGAAGGTTAATAATCTGAAATTTTAGGACTAGACCCTTTTCAATTGTAGCCCTGACATTGCAAACTTAGCCAAATGCTTAAGAAATAATCTTTATAGTAAAAAAGCCATTCTTGATACTACTGGATATTATTAATAGTATTATTTTTTAGCAAATGAAAAGGAATTCTTATTACATTGAAAAGGGAATTCTTATTACTAGCTGACTGTATATTTTCCTATCAAATTTTCTGGACTTGCACATAGTTTCACTGAGTGTTGTTGGAGGTCCATCAGCACTAATTTCTCCACTAGGCAACACCCTCTGACCACGAGCAGAAATATGGTTGCTTTCATCTCGAGGTGTAATTTCTTCCATCACAATTACATAAGTGAACTTGCTTTGCTAAAAAAATGATGGTTAAAAATAATACTGAAAATAAATGGCTTTGAACAACAAATAAACATCAAATGGGAAACAAAGAAAAACTCTTCATTTAAATTTTCTCTGGGTTACTGATAAAACTACATATCCTAGGGGAATCATTTCAAGTACCTCCGTAATGTTATTATTGACTTCACCAGGTTGAATTGAAGCCTAATAAAAAGAAATAACCATAGAAAGAGCATGTATTATATCAAGTAGCACTAAGTCTCCAATTTCTCACAAAATATTGAGATGGTTGGTTATTTGTGTGATTGTTTTTCTATATTCAAATTTAACCTTTTACATTAATATTATCTTATCACCATATCATATCATGTAAGGAATAGAAGTAGATGTTCAATTGATCTGTGTTCAGATATTAAAGTGTTCAACATGGTTTAGAAAGGATTTTTGAGCCACTCTCCTGGTCTCTCATCATACTGAATGAACGGAGTCTTTAGCCTCTCATGGTTGAGGCTTTTCTGAAGCTTAAGCTGGGAGGTACTTTGTTATGCGAAAGCCTCATATTTTTTTCGAAGTACTTTTCAATTATATAAGAGTGAGCCACATACAAGTGATATAAGAATCTACTAAATTATGTACTTAACAAGTGATACAAGTGATTAGTATTATGTACTGCATATTACTCTTACTTGATAAAATTAACTCTGACTTGATAAGAAGCTGTGACATGTGGGGTTAAGCAGGCACCTTTTGACGTGTTCTATAGAAAAGGCAGTTTGATAGACGATTAGTTATATATGGTTAAAGGTAGGTTATATATGGTTAAAGGCATGCAGGTTTTAACACTACAAAAAAATTCGGCAGTAGTCACGGATTTAGTCACGGACTACAGTGTAAAAAATCCGTGACTAACTCATTTAGTCACGGATTCTGTCTGTGACTAATTCCGTGACTGTTTGGGCGTGACTAAATTTAGTCACGTCAAATTGTCCGTGACTAAATGTAGTCACGGACCAAATCCGTGACTAATCTATCACCGGAATAGCTGCTCCGGCACTTTAGTCACGGCTAAGATCCGTGACTACATTTTTTAAAATTTTTTTATATTAGTCACGAACACGTCCGTGACTAAGTATTTTTTTTTAAAAAAAAATCGGCCATATTAGTCACGGAAATATCCGTGACTAAGTTTTCAAATTTTTGAAATTTTCAAAAACCCGCGTTTCCTTTTTTCAATGTTTTGAAATTTCGTATTAGTCACGGTCATGAATCCGTGACTAAATTTTTTTTTTTTAAAAAAATAAATTTTAAATTTAACAAATAATTCCAGACTAAAAAATTAGTCACGGCTCAGATCCGTGACTAAATGTTTTGTTTTTAAAAAAAAACTATTTTTTAAAAACCAAAATTAAAACTTATTTTAATTTTTCTTAAAAAAAATTGTTGTTAAAAATATTTCAATTGAACTGTTCGTAGAAAAACTATTTTAAAACTCTTTAAACTTTTTAAAACTGTTTAATAAAAACAGTTTTTAATAAAACACAGTTTAAACATTTTTAAAACTTTTTTTATACTGTTTAAACACTTTCTAATAAAAAACAGTTTAAACTTTTTAAAAACTGTTTTTTAATGTCTTTAATAAACACTTTTTTAAACTGTTTAATAAAAAACTGTTTATTACACTCTTTTTAATAAAAAAACAGTTTATTAAACACTTTTTAATAAAAACCCGTTTTTATTAAGCAGTTTAACAAAAACGTTTTTTTATTAAACTGTTTTTTATAATCTATATTTTATATTTTATTTCAGAAAACTGTTTTTAATGTCTAAATTAATATTTTATAATTAACATGTTAAACTTTTTTGGAAGTTTGACATGAGGGGATATTTTTTAAAATAATTCGGGAATAATAATTTTGATAGATGATAAAAAACAATAATCCTAACAATGTCTAAATATTTCTATTTTGCATGCTTCATTCTAAGTCTAAAAATTAGTCCAAACTAACCTAACATAATTCAAGAATAAAAGAAACACATAAGGCCGAAATAAAAAAAAAAAAAAAGGTTTGAATAATCATGCATGTTGTTTAACCTAAAATTAAATCATATTTTGGCATACATATTAAAATTATTGAACATATAAAACATGTAATAAACTAAATTATATTAAACATGTATACCAACTAAAGAAAAGTATAAACTAAATCGTATTTCGAAATTTAATATTAAACATGTATTTCAAAAATTATATTTCGAATATTAAAGAAAAATATAAACTAAAACATATTAAATCATATTACTACACAAAACATGTATACAAAACTAAATAATCATTCATAAATCAAATTGAGCATATAAACTAAATCATGTATATAATCATGCATTTGAGTGTATTTCAACAAAAGAGCATGCACTTTAATAATAACATGCATTTTTGGAATGAAAATCAAATACTAAAAATAAGAATGAAAAGTAATTGAAATTTAGAACACATAACCTTGATGAAGAGGACGGCGAAGAGTCTTCGACGGAGGTAGCTAACGGAGACCGGCGACGGACGGTGGCGACGGACGGTGAAAGCGGTGGTGGAGGTCAAAGGGTTCGGCGGACAGAGAGAAGAAGTAGAGATAGAGGGAGAGTTTTAGGGTTGGGAGAGTGTTTGGAATGAAAAATTCGCCAAGGATTTATTTTATATAAGGGATTAGTCACGGCATTAGTCACGGATATATCCGTGACTAAACCCTTCGTAATCCCCGAATCCAGCCACGCGGTGTCAGGGCCGCCATTAGTCACGGATAAATCCGTGACTAATGCCGTGACTAAATTCAAAATTTGAATTTAGTCACGGATTTAGTCACGGATTTATCCGTGACTAACCCGGTCAATTTTTTTTTTTTGAATTTTTTTATGGATATATCACGGATTTATGGCATTTGAATCATATTTTAATTTTTTGAATCATTTTTTCCTAAGATCTTTAATTGAGATATGTGTACCACAAATATGCAGATGAATAAGGGCTTTAAGAATTTTTAAAAGGAAGGGTTGCAAGAACTATCCGTTAATGAATCTTGTTTTTGGACAAGGGAGTGCAAGTGGAGGACTTGCTACTCCTTCCACCCAAGTACCGACACACTCGGATGAGGAAAGAAGGAATGAGGACGTCTTCTTACATGGTGAGGGGGGCATGAGCTCAGAGAGATCACACTCAAAAGGGAAACGCAAAGCTGAGGAAGCGATGGGATCAAGCAATAAGGACTGGAAGACTGTTTTGGCTAATGCGGTCCACGCGTACACGACAACAATGAGTATAACCAAAAGAGACGTCGATCTCGAGATGAAGATGTTAGCACCACATCTACAGGTGCAGCGAGAAATTTTTCTATGACCCGATGCGTTGAAGTCATAAATGTTAAGCCAAATGTGTCAACCCGTGCTTATAATGGTTCCATCGATGCACTTACAGATGTTGTCCGACGTGAGGCCTTTATGGCTATGCCAGCAGACCGACAGTTGGATTGGGTTATGAGATTTGATTCTAACTAGTTAAATTGTGTTTGGATTGCATAATATATGTTATATGTTTTGTGTATGTGAACTTGAACACTTTGTTAGAATAATGTTTAACTATGTATTGTTTGTCGAATTATTGAAAGTGTTTGTTACGTATTATGTGATTTAGCATTTGTCTTGCAACTGAAGCATGAATGTTATACGCAATTGCAGATACACAATGTCACGTAATGGCAGTGGTGATGATATTTCAGACTCTGCAAGTGATGAAGATGATGAGTCTGGGGCCCTACTATTAATGACTACAAGTGTTTTAGTTGACGTCGAAAAAATTCCATGTCGAACGTCTATACTCACAGGTAACGCTTATATCGATGAGTTAATGACAGGTCATCCACTAAGATGCTATGAAAATTTTAGGATGAAGCCACATGTATTCCTGCATTTATGTGAAAGGCTTAAGAATTTGGATGTTCTACACGATTCAAGATATTTAAGGGCTGGAGAGCAATTAGGAATAGGCCTTTTAGTGTTATGCCTAGGGGTGGGGCAACATACATGTGCAGAGCGTTTTCAGCATTCAATGCGAACTGTTCACTTATGTGTGAAGCGTGTGGTGAGAGCACTTGCACGATTGGCCAAAGAAGTTATAAAGCCGATTAATAGGGGCCCTGTTCAACCGGAAATTATAGAAAAACCGAAATGGTATCTTTATTTTGAGGTATGTTTAAGCCTAATTACCTTTTTCAATACTTAGGTTAACGCATACTATTAATGGTGTACAAATTTTGTAGAAATGTGTTGGTGCCATTGATGGTACTCATGTAGCAGCCTCAGCACCCGCTTCCAAACAAAAGACATTTCGCGGTAGACATTCAACGGTCACTCAAAATGTCATGGCAGCTTGTAGTCATGACATGTTGTTTACGTATGTATACGCGGGTTGGGAGGGAACGTGCAATGACTCTCGAGTATTTTTAGATGCAATTACAAGAAGCGAAAATGGTTTGCCCATGCCTCCTAGCGGTAATACAATAATTATGCAATTTTTGTTTATAGTCACTATTTAACATAAATGGGTTCCCATTGTAGTTGTTATTGACTTCATTATAGGTTATTACTATGTGGTTGATGCTGGCTATCCAAATGTTCCGGGTTTAGCCCCATACCGTGGAGAGAGTTATCACTTAAAGGATTTTCGAGGACGAGGACGAATACGCAATAAACAAGCTTTATTTAACTACGGACACTCGTCCGTACATAATGTGATTGAGAGGTGTTTTGGAGTACTAAAGGAAAGATTTCCCATTCTAGACATTTCACGTGGCTACCCATTGAGAAGACAAGTTCAAATTCCCATAGCTTGTTGCGCTTTGCATAACTTCATTCGCATGCAAGATAGGAACAATGATTTGTTCTTGGAGTACGAGGAAGATGATATGATATTTAACACGGAGGCAAGTACAAGTGAAAATTGACCACTCGAATTTGATATGTCTCAACAACAACAAATGCACAAAATTCGAGAAAGTATTGCAAATGCAATATGGGATGATTATAATGTTTGAGATGTCGAAGTACAATTGTTGTTCTCATTAACATGTCACTTATTGAACTTTCAATGTTGGGGAACAGTTATATCAATTTTTTTTTGTTATTTCAAATGTTTGTAAATGTGCATTTTTTTTTCAAATATTAAGTCAACGTTGTCTGGTAAAAATGAAATGAAAAAGTGAAAACCTCTGGTAAACATGTTTTCTGATTTGGAAAACAAAAAACTGGAAAACGAAAACAGAAAACTGAAGACTTCAAAACAGAAAATGAAAACAGAAAAATATTTCTGTTAGTAAACAGGCCCTAAATATTTGGACTCATCATCGGAGCCGCTTGTATCGTCGGTTGTCATTTCCTCCATGAAGTGGTGGTTCGGTGCTATGTAAACTTATTGTGTTCTTCGAAGGCATTCAACCAATCATGGAAGCAAATGAGCGTCTCAAAAGATGAAGTGCTCAATCTCATTTTATAATCAGTCAAGATGTTACCGGCTTCGCTAAACTCTTGTTCCACGATAGTGACATCACTTGTTTGGTCATTTTTTATAGAATGGGGAACATCCCTTCATGGGTCTTCCACCATTGGAGAATGTTAAAGTCGTCCCCTTGCATATACGTAATTTACATTTCGACTTGCCCAAGTTATATTTTATTTTGCATTTACGCAATTTACATTTCAACTTGCTTCTAATTAAATTGTGCATAAACACGATTTATTTTTCATACATGAGATTGAATAGGATTGTTAACCACGGGAGGTGAGAGAATAACAGTTGAAGGAAGCAAGACTCCCGAAATGTAATTCATCGCTACCTAAGATTACATTTGTTGTAACGCGCATTACATTCAATGCACAAGATTTACATCCAACAAAATATTGAAATAAAAACATATTCATTGTTGACATGTTTTTTTAGTTAAAGCTTTATGTAAATGCCATCATTTTAGGTGTGGGAGTATGGTGATTACATTGCACCCCTACCACAGTATAATGACCAGCTACTTTGGCATAATAAACAAACGTGAAAAAACATTGTTAGAGTCCCACATCAAAAAAGTTTGAATCAACAGAGTGCTATATTAAGAAATGTGCTACTCCTCCAATCACATTGACCTTTTAGGATGGAACCCCAGGTCTTAACATAGTATCAGAGCCAAACTGATTCATAACCCTGGTGTGGGTCCCCTTATGAAAAATGATTACACGAATATAAAAACATGACAATGATGAACCGACGAAAAAAATGAATGACGGCATGATCCAGACAAAGTGGCTGGCCGTGAGGAGGAGTGTTAGAGTCACACACTGGAAAAGTTTGAATCATCAAAGTGCTATATTAAGAAATGGGCTACGTACTCCTCCTATCAGATTGGCCGTTTAGGATGGAACCTCAGGTCTTAACAAGCATCAATAAATTTTGGACACACTCGATCACTAGGTGTTTCGACTGGGGAAATGTGCAATTGCCACTTAGGGCTGCCTACCTACTAGGGAGACGGGAGTCGGAGAGTTTGGAGTATCTGAGAGAGGGAATTTTTAGAGGATAACTAGCTGATTGGAAATAACATATTCTATTCCAAAGCTGGTAGGGAGGTCATTCTGAAAACTGTCATTCAGGCGATGTCTTCATAAGCTATGAAAGTTTTTCTACTTCTGACAAACCTCTATTCGGATCTAGAGATAATAGTGAATGATTATTGGTGGCGGGGGGAAGGATTTTGAGGCAATGGGAATCAGATGAAAGTCCTAGAAGGCCTTTCAACATTGTCATGCTAGGAAGACATGTGTGGAGGCTTACACAGATACAAAGTTCCTGGGGAGTAAGGTCATCAAGGTTCATTGTTTCCCTCAGTCTTCATTTTTGGATGGAAAATGGGGAGTAACCCATCTTTTATCTGGAGAAGTATAGTATTCTCAAAGCTTAGCATATGGTTTGAAAGGGGGCGCGTAGGCGGTTGGTTCTGGTACGAACATTTCAGTATGGCGGGACAGATGGCTTCCGGTGGCGGTAATGGTCAGGTTACATTGCCCAAACCAAATGGCAATGTCAATAGGAATGTCGCGGCCCTAATTAAAGAGGATCATTCCGGATAGAATTTGGAAAGAATACAAGCTATTTTTAATGAGCCTGAGTTGAACATGTGTGAGTAATAGGAAGTAACTTATCATTACCGAGTTAAACCTCATCACGTCTGTCATAATCAGTGTAGGATGGAATGTTGTTGACATTTGTTGTAACATGATGAGAAGCATAGATGTCAGACAACCATGGTTAGCCGGAAGCCGGCAATGTAGCAGTGGTGTGATTGATGACCGGACCGGTGGATGGAGCAACATTGTGAACACGTAGGAATCTTTGTAACTTGTTGCATTGTTTTACTTCATAACCAATATTGTCACAAAAACAGCACACAACCGTGTTGGACGAATTTCAGAAGGACGTGGAGCCACCCCGGCCTCGCTTAGAGTAAGACCCTCGGCGATCCAAATTGGAGTGAAATCATTGCTCATTATTCGCAGCTAGGCGTGAGGTACTTTGTGTGACATTGGTAGTAGGTAAAAGTGCTTGATTAGACGCATCAATTTCCATGAGGCGGGATTTATGCTCCAATAAAATTTGTTAGAGCTCTTAAAGAGGCAACGCCGGCTGACATACTCGAATGGCACGCGTGTGTTCAACATACTCATATCCTAGACCATTCAATATGTTAATGATGATATCTTCCTTCGAAATAGGGTTTTGTGCCAAGGCTAAAACGTTAGCGATTGCTTGCATTTGAGCAAGGTAGACAGAAGTGGATCGAGACCCCTTTGTAGTGCGGGCTAAAGTGGTCTTCAAGAAGATGATGCGGCCACGAGAAGAGCTGGTGTAAGTGACTGGGTCATGTCGGAGCAGCTGCCAAGGAGTGCACTCAAAATTGTTTTGTGGTATTAGAGCTGGTCTTCGCCACATATAGGGTAAAAACCGGGGATGAGGCGGGTCTCGACTAGTAGATCCGCCGGTTTCTTTGAAGATGCTTGGCAGACTGTTTGGTTGGCTTATGGTGGTGCACTTGAAGTTGGATTTTATTTATTTATTTCTGCTTTTTTAGTTGTTGTTTTATTTAATCAGACTGTTTACTTCTTTGTTCTTTTAATGATTGATTGTAAGAATCATGCATTAAGATTGGGGGATTGTAGGTCTACTTCAACCGTCTTTGGTTCATGTAAGACCATTATAGGATCAACGAGTTATATTACTTGTTTGTGGGTGATTAACTCTGAGTCTAGTTCGAGGGCTGATGGTTGTTTGTGGTCTTTATATCATTTTAACCCCTTTCGGAATGTTAATGCTATGATATCAATATAAGCTCTCTTCTTCCAAAAAAAATGTGTAAATTTTAATTATTAAAGATCATTTAACTACACACTACGCTAACCATAAATTGCAATTCAATTGCAATTGCAAATAAACCTTAGAAATCGTAAATTGCAATTCAATTTGAGACCGTGGAAGAAATTTGCAAGGAAAACAACCATGTGCACTGGAGGGTATATTTGAAACGATGCTTACGCCAAGAAACGGCACATAGTTCTTCGCAATGATGTAGTATGAGGAAGACAACATAATAGAGAGCGTCATAGCCCTTGTTTATATAAATATTGTTAGTTATCTTTTAGATAATTTATGTTATATTTTGATACATATTGAAAGAATGTTGATTTTTTTATCATCGAACGGGCATTTATTCATAAAAAGCACTCAGAAAGGGGTTGAAATAACAAAAGGACCACATATAATCATTCGCTCGAGGACGAGACTCTGAGTTAATCACCTTTGACAAAGCAATATAACTCGCTAATCCTAAATTGGGCATATTCAAAACCACGACGATTACCGCAGGCCTCTCATCCCCCAATCCAAGTGCAAAAGTCTTACAGAATAAAATAAATAAGAAACAAAACACACTCAAAATAAATAAAAACAAAACACAATCGACTCAGCAGAAATAGAAATACTCGTCCAAACCCTAGTCGCAGAATTCCTCCAAGGCGGCAGTTCTGGAGGTGGGCGGATCAACATCCCTGCATCTTCTTTCACACATAGGCCACCAATGAACCCCTAAAATTTGTTTTTCCAGTCCAACAGCTTGATGTCGACCACCAGAAACTCCATGCTTTCACCAATAGCCATCTGCTTCGTCAAAGCTCGTTCCCAAACTGCCGAAGAATAACATCTTGGCTTCGTCTTCAACATTCTGCAGCCCCCCATCTTCCCCTTGCTAAACCCGTCCCCTGCCAAAATCAGAAGCCTCGAACCCTCCTGAAAGCTTCCTCGCTTGTTCGCTGCTCTTGTAAAGCAGAAAAACCAAAAGATTCGTCCAAACAGAATCCAGATTCACCGCAATTGCAAGTCAGAAAGAAAACAAAAACGAAACAAACAAACTCCGCGATGACAACAGAACTCAATACCCTGAGAAGATATATGAGATAAGTTGCCTACCTGGGAGAGATCGGCCGAACCCACGACCTGGATAGGCCGCCGCTGGAAAAAACTAGGCTAAAACCTAGAGAGAGCCTTAATGGGGACATTAAGTATGTTGTAAGTTTTAAAAACTCGTTAATGACTATTAATTTTCAATAATGTAGTGTATGTGACTTTAAGTTGTATCTTGTTTGTGTAGTCTTACAATTTAATTAATATGATTTAAATCTTAGCTCTCACGATTTAACTATAAAGATGATATTTATCTTGTATAGTGTCATTTTGTTAAAGATAATATCAACTAAATATTAATTCAATTTGTTAGCATTAGTTTTGTGCCGTTCTGAAATGACATAATATAAAATGGTTCCATCATTAGAAGTGGACCATACCGAATCGTTGGAAACCTCACGGGTACATTACGAGTTTTGCTAATTTACCGAATAATTTCAGATTGCGCCCAACGTTAGTAAGAGGGATCATATGAAAAGCTAAACAAATCTTAAGCAAAAAATTGATAAATTCAACCATAATTTCAAGTTATTTATTTTTAGTGTTTATGTTCACATAAATTCAAATGTATACACACCATATAATTTTATTTGAAATTTTTAAAAGTCGAAATAAAACTCCAATGCCAACACACTAGGGGTGGATTCG